ACCTCAGGCCATCCAGAAAACTGTGGTTGAGCCAGTTGTGAAGGTGCAGAAACAGGAAGTGTGAGGTACAAGCTTTTCACAAGACTTTTCACCTTACTGGGAACTAGCCAAGTACACACATTTTCTTGACATTGACCTTCTCCTGCGTCAGGGTTCTTTATGCTAATAGCATACACAGGAAGCAATAAAAGCTCTGAAAGTCAGGTGAGTCACAGGAAGCCATGATGGTTAGGAAATGTTAGAGGAACACTTATGTTCCAGGCTAAGTGCTGGAAAGGAGTTAAGAGTAAGAGGAGTGCAGAGGGAATAAGAGGGAGGAGGAGTGGGCAGGGAAGCGGAGGAGGAGAAAGAGGGAAAAGGTGGTAGTGAAGTTGGAAGGATGTCAGCTAATTTCACAGTGCCTTTGCTTTGAGAATTTCATCAGCTATAGGAAAAGGTAGGCTGATTTCTGGCCTTTTTTGAAATCCAAATGATAGCACATGTACCTGCACACACACACACACACACACACACACACACACACCTTTATTACACTGGTGAAATGTAAATGAATCTCTTGAATGGTAGCAATGCCCATATCCTGGTTTGGTCTCTTCTATATGGAAGCTTTTACAATAAAACTTCCCTGAGTCTATCTATAATTATTATCAACCTATAATGTTAGCAAGAAAAAACTCCACAGAGCTCCAAGACATAACAACTAGGAGTAATTCCATGAGATTCAGCAACCTATCTAGGTCTCAAACCACCCCACCAGCAATGCAGAGGCCAGGACTTGGTACATGAACCCATTAGGGCTCCCTGACATCATGCAGAATCCCAGCAGGGTGCTCCTGCCTTCCTGCCCTCTACCACATTCTCTGCAGAGGAACTGCATTTCCAGGAATTGCATTTTCAGAACTGCTTTCTCCCTACTGCCAGCTCCCACACCCACAGTATCTAGAAATTACCAAGGAAGCTGTGTCAGCCCCCCGGACCACAGCCCAAGTACAGCCAGCCCAAGACCAGAATCCACTAATGAGGTATGAAAAAGGCTCTGGGGCTGGGATTCATTGAGGTCCTGCTGTAAGCCTAGCTTATTTCTGCAGCTCCACTCCATGAATATGCAGGAAAACCTACACAGGCAGGATTTGGTTGTGGCTGCACTCTGCACATAAGGCTGGTGCTGCTGGCTGCTTTTACCACCCTCCTCCTCCCCACAGCAGGACTGGCACTCAGCTATCTGCGAGTCCTCCTAAATACCTTCCTTCTAGGAAGGGAACCCCGGGAGTGGGGGCAACTGGGATCATTCAGGGCATTCTGGGTTCACTCACTATAATATTGTCCGCCATTGAGCTGAAGCCATCACATCGAAAGAACAGACAGAAAGAGGGAATAGTACAGAGACCAGAAAAGAAAGATTCAGAATGAACAGATCACATATTTCATGATGAACATTGACCTCCTTCGATAGCTCATTTGCTGCTCTCTAATGGAGTTTCTGCAGGAAACATTTATCTCTGCCCTCGCAGCCCAGGAGTACCAAGTCTCATTAAGCTTTCATTTTTTTCAGAAGATTCAGAATCAGGTGATCTGATTTATGTGTATTAGAAGATACTTGAGAACAGGAGTGGTGGTTCACACCCATAATCCCAGCTTGCTGGGAAGATCTGAAGTTTTGACCTCCAAGACCAGCCCTGAGAACAAGTGAGGGAGACCCCATCTCATCAAAGGCAGGCATGGTGGCACACACTCATGATCCCAGCTATGTGGTAGTTTTAAGTAGGAGAATTAAGGTCTGAAGCCAGCCCTGGACAAAAACGTAAGAGTTAACCTGAAATATTTTTCAGGTTGCTAAAGCAAAAAAAGGCCACAGAAATTCAGCTCCTTCCTATCAAGCCCAAGTCCCTGAGTTCTAACTCCAATACTGGGGCTGGGGGGCGGGTGGAGGGCAGGAGGAGGAGGGCAGGACATTTCTTAAGGCAAATTTTCAGGGTTTTCCAACCACCTTTTAAACCATATTAGAGAAACTTCCTTCACAATGTAACCCAAGCCGAGCTGCTGGTGGCTCACGCCTGCAATCCTAGCTACTCAGGAGGCTAAGATCTGAGGATCATGGTTCAAAGCCAGACTGGGCGGAAAAGTCCATGAGACTCTTATCTCCAATTAACCACAAGAAAGCCAGAAGTGGCGCTGGCTCAAAGCCAGCCTGGGTAGGAAAGTCTGTGAGACTCTTATCTTCAATGAATCAACAGAAAACTGGAAATGGTGAGGTGGCTCAAATGGTAGAATGCTAGCCTTGAGCTGAAGAGCTCAGGGACAATGCCCAAGCCCAGAGTTCAAGCCCCATGACCAACCAAAAAAAAACCTAACCATTGCGTCTTCTTTTGGTAGGTGGTCCCAAGGCATTTGCACAGGGAAAGCATGAAAAAGTAATTCCTAAAAGCAATACTTCACTAGTGTGAGTTTGCTCTCTCTCTCTCCCCCAGCTGCAGGGGGGGAGACTTTGGCATTGCCTGGAAACATTCTGGTTGCTACACTGGAGGGAAAGAAAGAGGACAGGTAACCTAGTAGGTAGACCCAGGAATGCTACTGAACAGAAAAGCCTACAAGACAGTCCCACAGGAAAGATTATCTAAAGCAGGACAGTAATGAGGAGGCTGAGAAACTCTGTTTCAAGGTTCCCACTGAACTAACTCCAAATACTCTTTCATATTCATTCCATAAACAATGACTTGGGATGTTAGTGTAATCTTTTTTTTTTCTGATTGTAGGATTTGAACTCATTGTCTGGGCACTGTCCCTGAGCTCTTTTGCTCAAAGCTAGTGCTCTACCACTTGGAGCCACCTCACCATTTCCAGTTTTCTGTTGACTCATTGAAGAGTCTCACAGATTTTCCTACCCAGGCTGGCTTTGAACCATGATCCTCAGATCTCAGCCTCCTGAGCAACTAGGATTACAGTGGCCAGCACTCATAGTGTAATCTTACCCACGATGCCTCTGGTGCTGGGAGCCTGCCTTTGCAGCATCAGTGAAGGAAAGGCTGAGGTATAGAAACAAACAAATGTAACACAGAGCCTGCCAAGGGCTGGAGTGGAAACATAAGGAAGAACAGAGCATGAGTTCATGAGGGGAGATGGAGGATGGAGAGGAAATGATGGAGTTGCAAAAGACATGTGCAAGCTCAAAAAGTATCACTCTCACATGAAAACTCAAAATAACTGTTAAGAAAGTGCACCAGTGCCCTCAGGACATTTTAAGCAATCTGTCTTTCTGCTTCTATGTGCCTTTCCTTAGAAAGACAGCCGACTTGCTTGCTAACAATGATGTTCTTTCTGGTAACAAAGTAATGGTTTATTTCCTTTTCTTCCCTTTAGTTTATTCTTCCTATATTTTAAAATATTAACACTCATGCAATAGAATTCTGTAGCTGCCAATTAACTAAGCAGTATACAGCTAGCCTCTTTTATTTTTCCTCAGAAACTTGTTTATCCATAATTGGGAAGATACAGATGAATCAGCCATTATCTAGTAACTGGCCTCTATTCCCATTCTCTCTCTCTCTCTCTCCCTCTCTCTGTCTCTGTCTCTCTCTCTCTCCATCTCTCTCTCCATCTCTCTCTCCATCTCTCTCTCTGTCTCTCTGTCTCTGTCTCTGTCTCTGTCTTTCTCTCTCTCTCTGTAGTATTGAGGTTTGAACTCAGGGCCTTGCTTTACTACTTGAACTCTATACCCAGTGCTTGTTGCTTTCGTTATTTTTATGTGAGTGTGCACAAGTTTTGAGGCTTGATTTCGAGGTCTAGGCCTTATCCCTGAGCTTCTTTGCTCAATGCTACCACTCTGCCACTTAAGTTACAGCTCCATTTGTGACTTTTTGGTGATTAATTGGAGATAAGAGTGTCACAGAGTTACCTGTCTGGGATGGCTTGTTTTATATTTTTTAATAAGGTCCCAGCTGGGTGTATAAGGCACTAGCCAGTCTCAAGGAGTAGACAATAGACTTAATGTGCAATATATTAGTGGTAATGTGTCATCTCTGGACTTCATTCTGAGGCATGGATGAGCCATAGGAGTCTCTTAAATAAGCAGGAAATTATGAGTGAAAGATAAAAAGAAGAAAATTATTACATTGAATGGGATGGACTAGAAGAGGATCAAATAGAACTACAAAGAAAGGTCTTAACTCTGAAATTTTGCACGTTTCTCCCGCTGCCTTTAATTACAATAATAAATATTTTATGAGATGGTCTATGCAATCAATGAGTCATTTTAAGGCCAAAAGTTCAGGAACTGAAAGAACTCAAATGATAACCGAATTTTCATTGATGAAATTTGAGTAAATTTTTAAGAAATAAAACTGAAACTCAACCTTCAAGACACAGCACTTAGTTCATGAATTGGGACCCTGGGGGAGGAGGGCAAGAGTGAACACTACACTGATCAATGGCATTGGACAGCTTTGAGAGTGGACAGGACCTTGACTGGACAGAGTGAGAGAGGGAGTCAGTGACAACATCACAGACATCAAAAATAGAGAGCTCCAAACAAGGGCGAAATAATGTTTGACAAGAAATGTACTTGTTTCCTCACTCATGTGACTGTAACCCCTTGTGCAGCATCTTTGCAATAAAATAAAATTTAAAAAAATAGTGAGGTCTATGTTTTTAAATAAATATTAATGACTTAGGCTGCCGGTGGCTCCTGCCTATAATCCTAGCTACTCAGGAGGCTGAAAGCTGAGGATCACAGTATGAAGCTAACTAAGGCAAGGAAATCCCTGAAACTCTTATTTCCAATTAAACACCAAAAAGCTAGAAGTGGAGGTATGGATCAAGCAGTAGACTGCCAGCCTTGAGTGAAAAAGCAGAGTCATAGAGGCCCTGCGTTCAAGCCCCAGTCTGGCATATGCAAAAAAAAAATAAAATAAAATACTAATAGTTGGGTAAACACAATTCATGTAATTGGTTTGAATTTTGATCATGAGTTTTCAGACCATTTAATGTTTTTTTCTTCTTGGCAGATCCATTACAGGATTTTGGCTTGTCTATTGACCAGTGCTCCAAACAATTAAAACAAAATCTCAACATTAGAATTGGACTCATTCTGAGTAAGTAAAAAAGCAGTACTTTGGAATAAAGCACGGCACAGCTTCTTCCTGCTGTATACAGCCAGCTGACTTGCATCCACTGTTAAGAGCTGACTAAACTATACTCCCAAATAAACTGTTTCCATCTTCATTTTCAGACCTTTCCCAGAGTAAAACCTAGGTAGTATAAAACTCTCATTTAAGACTGTGCTTTTGCACTAAAAAGACTCCAGACACTTGTTTGGATTATATAAACACTTGAAATCAGTAAGGTTAGCACACACAAAAAAAAGAAAGGGTTTTGTTTTTGGGTTTTTTTTCCCATGTTCTGGAAATTGAGCTGAGGGCCTGGGCTTTGTCTGAGATTCTTTTGCTCTATCACTTGAGCCACAGCGTCACTTCTGGCTTTTTCTGAGTAATTTATTGGGCATAAGAAGAGTCTCATGGATTTTTCTGCCCTGGCTGAAAGAAAGAGAACAACTATTGATGTTTACAGAAGACAGAGCCCTAGCCTGGCTATTTGTGCCACATGTAAATCTGTCCCCTCCTTCCAGCAATGTGGTTTATCATTTGCATTATTTTGCTTCCTGGATTGCTAATGCAAGTTCTTAAACCTTGATCCAGACAAAGATGTGTGAAATCCTTCTTCCCCACCTTAATCAACAAACTCCAGTAAAACTTTATACAGTGTCTGCAGCATCTCAAACCTAAAATGCTTTGAGGAAAGAAATAAAAGGGAGAGACAGACAGACAGACAGACAGGCAGACAGACAGACAGACAGACAACAGACAGACAGACAACAGACAGACAGACAGACAGGCAGGCAGGCAGGCAGACAAAGGAAAATGCAGAAAGAACCAGAAGCCACAAGAAAGTTCACCAAAGCTCCCAGTGCATCATGTGTGCCATGGTGGTCCCCACAACCATACTGGGAATCTGTGGCTTGACCACACCCTACCCCACTACTGCCTATGTCTCTTGAAAAGTTCTAGAAGGCAGATTGCAGACACCCTGTTCCAGAATGAGGAATATGGCCAGTGAGTTACTTTGCCCCAAACAGGCAAAGGGCCACTTTTACAGCCAAGGTGCTGGTTGTAATCCCCTGTAGCATAGTCCAAATGCTGTTTTGCCAAGAAAAGAAGAAAGCTGAGCCTTGAGAAAAAAAAAAAAAAAGCTCAAGGATAAGGCCCAGTCCCTGAGTTCAAGCCCAAGACAGCAGCAGGAAGAGGAGGAGGAGGAGGAGGAGGAGGAAGTTGTTATTCACAAAGAGAAGAAGGGGAATCCACAATTTAGGAGCCTCACTGCCTTGAATATGGAGAAATATAGTAACAGCATTGTTCTTCGTTTCTTTAGGAGAGGACATCAGAGAGCTGTTCCTTGACATAGCTCTGGTCACTAAAGGCTCTCCAATTTTGAATTTTTCCTATCCTGTCTGTGAAGAGGATCTGCCCAAGTTTTCTTTCTGTGGAAGAAGGAAAGGAGGTAAGCCATCCCTTGCTGATAACCTGTACCTGAGGTCAGGAGCCCGGAGCAGTGCTTTGCTCAGCCCCTCACCTATGGCAACCTTGACTTCATCTGTCAGTGCCTGATATATAAAAAGAACAGGAAAATCCATCCAGGGGCTTACTTTACAGGGCTTTTATGAATACCAAACTGAAATGGTGCATGAGATAATTTCAGACAAAATTGTTGCTGTGCGTGGCACTTTATTTTTATTTTATTTTTACAAAAAAACAAAGGCTGGCAGTAGAAAGGACCCACAGTTTCAAAAAAAATTCATGAGGATTCAACCAGTTTCCAGGTTTACTCTCATTTTTTGGGGGGGGGAGTCCGGTTGTGGGGCCTGAACTCTGGGCCTGGGCACTGTCCTTCAGCTCTTCACCTCAAGGCTAGCGCTCTACCACTTGAGCCACAGCACCATTTCCAGCTTTTTTCTTTTTGCTTTTGTGGTGTTGAAGAATCGAACCCAGGGCCTCAGGCATGCAAGGCAAGCGCTTTACCACTGAGCCACCTTCCCAGCCCCCTACTCTCCATTTTTTTTAGTGGCAGGATCTCCTCAATATCATAATGAACTCTGAAAAATGAAACAAAGTAGAAGGAAACTAAACCAAAGTGCATTCTGTCATTGCCATTCCCCATCGGAGTAGAAGGCAGATAAAGATATTAGATAGCTAGACTCAAAGCAGAAAAGCTAAAAGCTTCAGGCTATTGCTTCCATTTTCTTAATGAAGAATCCTACTACACAGGGACTGGTGGTTCACACCTGCAATCCTAGCTACTCAGGAGGCTGAGAGCTAAGGATCAATGTTCAAAGCCAGCCCAGGTAGAAAAGTCTGTAAGACTCTTTTTTCCAATCAACTACTAGAAAGCCAGAATGTTAACCGTCCTTCCTCTCCACTCCTCCTCATCCTCTCCTGAGAGTCAGGCTAAGGTTTCAAAATGTTCCTTTGTTTAATGAAAACTTATCTATTCTCTGATGGCCTTCTCTAAGAGCCATTCCCTCCTACTCAGGGCCTCCATTCTATTCTTACTGGCCAATAGGGAGTAGAACTCAACTTCACACTCCAGAAACATCCTCTTGCCCATTTCTCTACTCAAGGAAGCTAAGGATTTCAGCAGCAAGAGTCCTTGAAAAAAAATGACCTTATCCTTTCTAAATGAAAGCTGCAGAAGACATTGGAGACTCTTTCCTAGTCCAAGAGATTCAGGTGAACGAAGTATATCTGCAAGAAAAGAAAACAAGGAACGTAAAGGAAGGTAGACCAGAAGGAAACCCAGTGCATCATGGGGGTTTGCAGATTGCTGTCTTGCAGCACTGAATGCATTGTACTACAGGCTTTGAACCTCACTTGTCATCCACACCATCTGTGAGCTTCCTGAGAGTCACTTTTGTCTCTTTAGTGCCCATACAATCATCTAGCAGTGCCCATAGGAAGCTGGTCTCTGGATCCCTGAAAATGTCAAAATCCATGGATGCCCAGTCCCTTTACATAAAATGAATAGTAGTGTTTAGAATCTGTGGTCACCTTAATGTATACTTGAAATCAGCTCTAGATTACTAACATGTAAATGCTTGCTGTGTAAATAGTTGCTATACTGTATTGTTTAGAAAATAATGCCAAAAAACCCAGCCTGCATGTTTAATACAGAAACAATGTTAGATAGTTGGTTGGTTGGCTGATTCATTTGGGTTGGTGAATGGGTAGGTGACTCTGTTGGTTTTCAAATATTTTTGCCCCATGACTTGTTGAATCCAAGGATGTAGAACTTGTAGATGATGAAGGCTGACTCTGTTCCAGCTGTGGCTAGTACTTAGGGAGTGCTCCACACAGACACACAGAGGAACCAGCTAACTTTATCCAGAGTTGTACCAGCTTCTGTTGTAAGAAGCTTGCATCCATTAAGTCATTTACTTCCTGCCTTATAAGTAAATCCATTAATATTCTAAATCCATGGATATGAAATCTGAGCCACAGAGCTTTAGCAATCTCTAAACTTCAGATTACAGAGCTGGTAAGGGACTAGTAGCCTAGACCTTGTCAAGGTCGCTCCCAACCCCTAGTTTTACATTGGGATGAATGAACGAACAATGGAATCTATGGAAAGAAATAAATGCATCTTTAAGTTAGAAGTTTATTTTTTAAAATCACTTAAGGACTCTTGCTGTTCACTGATCTTGCTATGTTTCAAATTAAGATATATTTTTTTCCTTTTAGCTAACTCAATAGAATATGTCTTCCACCAGTTTTCTATCAACTTCCTAGAAAGATTCTTTATGAATTGAGTATATTCACGCATTGCTTCACCATGGTTAACCCTTGTTAGTTTGCCTCTATTAACGTTTTTCTATCTTCCCTCATCTAGACCAACCAAAAGCCCTAGCTAAAACCTTCTACTTTCCCTTCCTGCCTCCCTTCCTCACTCCAGCCCTTCCCTCTTGTGTCTCTTCCTTTTTACTTCCTTTCTTATCTTCCCTCCTTTCTATCTCTCTGTTTACTCTTTTCTTTCTTCTCTCCCTCCCTTCTTCTATCTACTTCCTCCCTTTTTCTTTCCTTTCCTTCCTATTTTACTTTCTTCCACAATGGCAAAGTCCTAGTCTGTACCAAGTGCTCTAGTAAGGCTAAGACAAAATGTTTTCCATAATTGAGGATATCCTGATTGCCTAGAGGAAATGACAGATGCACAAGCAACAGCTTCAAGTTGTCCTTTGTGCTGTGTTCAATGAAGAGGAACAGCCTGAAGTGGAGCTGGCTCCCAATGGATTCCACTGTTGGAATACAAACAGGAAATTGAACAAAGGACTACTTTCCTATTTCCCTTAGATTAGGTGACTCATGTTGCATTACATAGAAGATAGATAGGTAGATAGATAGGTAGGTAGATAGATAGATACATAGATACATAGATAGATAGTCTAAAGGCCAAACTGTTAAAAGACTTTGTCCTCAGGATGGTGGTATTGGGAGAGGTAGAGCCATGTGAGAGGACCTTAGGTCATTAGAGGTGTGAATTCAGAGGATTATAAAACCTTGTTCCTTCTTCTCTCTCTTGCTCCCTGTCTATGAGTTGAGCAGTTTTCTTTACTAGGAGCTCCTCCTATGATGAGCTACCTAGTCAGAAGCCCAGAGAAGACAATGATGCCCACAAGAACTGCTGATTTATGGTGCAACCATTCCTGTAAAAGCCAGTTTTCAGCAGAAATGTAGAAGAAAGTTCTATTGCAAAACATGTAAAACAAATATGGACATATCTCAGTTCTTACTCTATGTACGTTATAGGACAAAAATAGGTTTGGATTTTGCATTAATTTTAAAGGCTTGTAACTGAAAGAAAATATCACGGTAAGAGCTATTTCAAGCAAAGAATTCTTCAGGGAATAATTGCTCTCTGGTTTATCTTTTGTGTAAATCTGAACTTTTCTACTTTAAGTGCTTGTCCAAAGTGGGGAATATATCATAATTAGATGAATTTCAATGTATAGCAGCATAGATCCCCTAAGAGCTATATTTAAAGCCTAGCATGATAACTGCCCATAAGGCAGATATTGTCCCTGACAGCATCTAAAGGATTGGATTATAATATTTATTGATTTTACATATGCAAATAAGTCAAGCCACCACTATGGTTACAATGAATGTTCATGCTGGCTATTAGTTTTTCTTCCTTTCTTTTATCAATGGCATTTTCCTGTTTGTTCCCAGTTCTTGCTGAACAATTTGCACATAATAATCCTGAGTGTCATTAACTGCAGAGCTTTCTAAATTGAAATGTCTATATCCAATCTTAACCATTCCATCTAAATCAGCAATTCAAATTCCATTGGCTGACTTCTCTATTATTTCTGTTTCAATGTGCTCCTTTCCACAGGCTAGTGAAAGGGGAGGAGGGATCTTTGGGTGAACGATAGGAATGCAATCTATGTATGGCTTATATTTGGGAAAAAATTCTCATAAATACTTTCTGCAAAAATTCCTTATACTTTGCACTCTTATAGGAGAAGACAAGGTAAAACCTACCTTTCAGATAAAGGCTACCTTGAAGAGCATTAATCTATGTTGACAACCCGACAACCTCTAAAAGCATGCCAGGAATGTAGCACCACTGTCAAGAGCCTCATTATTCAATTATTTAATGTTCTCTGTATATGTTAACAAATGCAAGCCCAGGGAACTTGCTCATTGATTTCTGCCATAACAGAAAGGGATTAAGCAGCTATGTCTGAAACCTCCATTATAAAATATGTCACCTCTGTTCCACTGTTAGCACCTTTTGTTTCTGGGGCATTTTAGACCACCTGCTCCTGTGAGCGCTGTTGCTATGAGCTTTCTGCTCCAGTGGTCCCTGTACTGCATTCTGAGTCCCCTCCTAATCCCAGCTATGGGCTTTATCCTTCATCAATCACTGTAAATAGCCCACATGACAAATGTCTTGATTTTGTTTCCCATGGCTCATGGAGAGAGTGATAGGTCTCTCTACCTAGGAAATTGCACCATTTCTCCTGCCATCACATTTCCCACTATCATTTTGTAGCTGCAGGCAGGATGTTACCAAGAGTAATATTATTCTGATAGAAATAATCCCTGGCTCCCTACCTTATCATACTGCAGTGTTTCCATTCGCCGCTAGGAGGAGAATCCCAGCCCAGCAGTTCTCAAAATTGAACATACCTCAGCAAGGCTTGGAGAATATTTGTCTTCAACAGCACATTACAGAACCCATTCCAGAGTTTCAGCATATCTGGAGACAGAAGCCTAAGAACTTGCATGTCTTACAAGTCTTCAGACAGAGTTGATGATGCTGGTCCAGGGACCACAGCATCACTATATTAGCTTTGTGAATAGACACAGGTTTTGAAGCCAGACTACAGAGAGCTAGAAGGTATGTTACCTCCATTTCCCACCTCTGTGACTCAAGCAAGTTACTTAACCTCCCTGAGCTTCAGTTCCTTTATCTGTACAAATAAGGAAAATGTGAGCAACCTC